GGACCCTCTTGTGTGCATAATAATGAGAAAAACTTGCATGTATTGACCCAGTTCCCAAAACTAGCTGTCCATAGTTTGGGCTGCGGGCTTTAATATTCACAAGGCACAGTTACCTGGGGAGGGATTGGACTGCCAAAATTGTGTCTATTTAGCGGGGCATCCATATTCGCTGGACATGACTACATCACATGGTGGAATTCTTTTACTGATAACTTCAACGAAGACTTTCGATCTGACTTGCCGTAATCAAATTCATTGGCCACTTGGAAAACGTCATATCTAACAATTTCCATAAATATTATTTTTGTTGTGCTCTGAATAATGAATGAGGTATCCAGATTTTCACTTTTCAAATCTAAAACTTGTGAGAAACAAAAATGGAGAGGAATACTTTTCAATGTGAGACTATATGTAAAGTGTGATTTTGAAATCGAAATAAAAAAATGTACAAATATATTTTTTTCTGATTTCACTTTTTAAGATTGGGGACTCCCCTTAATGGTGCCAGTTGCATTTGAGTGCTTCTGTGAACCGAATTCCAAAGCACAGCAAAATATTAAACTACAGCTGCGGCAAAACTGCATGAATGACTACATTAAGAAAAAAGGGAGTGTGACTTGCTCCCTCAAGGAAGTAAATGTGCTGCCCCATTACAGTTGCTCCCCTAGGGAGCAACTGTTACGGGAGAAACCTTTGCTTCCCTACCATTAGTCCCTCAAAGTTAAGCCCCCAGGACTAACTTTTGCGCCCTTGCATTTAGGCCACTGGGACTAAGTGTTGTGCCCTTACCTTGTTTATCACTAAAGTGTGCCCTTACACACCCAGGTGGCACTAGATCAAATTAAAAATTGGTAAAAGAAATGTTATTGCTGATGTAGATCTTTGCCATGCTCATTACATTCACATATTAACAGCGCTTAATTAACATTTGCTCACATATAATACATTTTAACATAGACAGAGTTAGAACACAGACACAACAAGGCTAATTTAATCGCCACTCCCAAAGGCTACCCATGCACCTTTTATATTGATCATATGAAAGGAGTCGTTCGGTCAGTGACCATCTCAACCGTGAATGATGTTACAAATATGGTGCTTCTTTCGCACATATATTCTCCAATATTGTTGCTAAACTTCCAAGGGGTGTATCTCTTACTAAGTGATGGTACATGCAGTAATTATTTGTCAGACTATAAAACAGCGTCCCCATAGGCTCCCAGCAGCCATGTTCTCACTTCCCCGCATAGACTGCCCCACTTTGTGCATGCACGTCTCCGTGGCAACTGCATCGTCTCTTACGAAAAAACTCACAGGTTTTCAAAAAAGAAAAGAAGACAAAGTACCCTTTTTGTCTTTGGAAAAGTTTTTACTATGTGCTACGGGGATATTTTCATTCCAGTTAAGCTAAAAAGAAAATATAAATGCTTTCAAAGCACATTCTAAAGAATGCAAAGGGGAAGGATGCGAAGACAACAGTCAAAAGTGGCATGGCCAGTGCATCAACAATGGCAGCGCTTGAGTCAGTGCTGGCTTCCACGACTTGCTAGAACAGAACATCTGTTCTAGCAAGTAGAACACACGAAGAACACAATTAAGGTATACTATCAAAACGTCCGCGGACTACGAACGAAGGCAGATGAATTTTCGTCCAACCTAGCGCTTTCCTCTTTTGACATAATCTGTCTTACTGAAACTTGGTTATGTGCCGAAATACATGATTCACAATATTTTGCGAATGACTACACTGTGTTTCGCCGCGATCGTGATTATAGCGCCACTGGTCAACGTTTCGGCGGTGGGGTGTTAATTGCAGTCTCAAGCAAGTTAAAATCGTGCCGTAGACAAGACCTTGAGACTTGTGACGAGTGCGTATGGCTCGAAATTTTATTGCGTGACCGTAGTAAATACCTCATCGGAAACTATTACTTCCCACCTAAATTTGAATGCTCAACTTTTATTTCACACTTCGACACTTTAACAAGTCTAATCAATTTTAGCGAATACAAAGTGCAAATTTTTGGAGATTTTAACCTTCTAGGCGTAGACTGGGCCCTTGGCAGACTTGATTGTTGTGATTACCTGACAGAGAGCAAAGCTTCTTGGTTTTTGCCACTTATCAACTTTTATGGTCTTTCACAGCACAATAATCTAACGAATGCTTCTGGCAAAACACTTGACTTGCTTTTATCAAACTTCCCTGTTGGCGCGATAGCGTCTTCGTCACACCCCTTGGTGAGGGTCGATGCTTATCATCCGCCCTTTGAAGCCGAATTTTACTTGCCATGTTTATCGCGAGAACTATCGAAATTCATTTACTGTTACGAAAAGGGAGATTACTTCAGCATTTACAGGCATGTAGAATCACACGCGTGGTCTGAGCTATATGATTCCAATGACTCAGATTTTGCAGCACAAAAATTGACTTCGGTAATGAAGGAAGCTATCGAAGAGTATGTGCCTAAAAGGCTCGTTAAACCGAGGAAATTTCCGAGCTGGTTTTCGAGGGAATTGAAGACTGCTCTGCGTAAAAAGACTCGTTTTCATGGTCTATACAAGAGAACGTGTAAACAAGTATGGTACCAAAAGTTTTCCAACTTTCGTTCCTTAGCTAAAATATTGCTTGCACGTGACAAATACGTCCACGAAAGACATGTTGAAAATAGTCTATATTCTGATCCCAAATCTTTCTGGAAACACGTAATCACCAAACCGCATTCGTTTTCACAACATTCATCTCTGCGCTCTTCTAGTAACGGTGATACTCATTATGTTACATCGCCAAAAGACATCGCTGATGAGTTTGCCTCGTTTTTTAGCAGCTGCTACTTACCGCCCATACATTCGGTGAAGTCAGATCTAATCAATGATCCCAGTGATGGGGACTCGCTCTCCCTGTTCAGTGTTGCTACACGGGACGTTGAAAAGGCGATTAAAAAGCTCAAGCCGAAATCGTCAGTGGGCACTGATGACATTCCACCATTTATTATTAAAGGATGCTGTGGGCTTCTAGCGCCAATTTTAGCCCATATTTTTAATGTATCTTTGCGTACCAGTATGTTTCCAGCAATATGGAAGGAAGCCATAGTTGTGCCCATTCATAAAGCTGGTGATGCTGGTATTGTATCAAATTACCGTCCTGTGTCACTACTGTGTGGTTTTGCTAAAGTATTTGAAACCATTATGCAAGAATGTCTTTTCTCTCATTTATCTAAGTATCTGACGCTGCAACAACATGGTTTTATTAAAGGGCGCTCTGTCGAAACTAACCCTTGTACTTTTCTACACAACGCAGCCCCGGTCGTTTCAAACCGAGGGCAGGTTGACTCGGTATATTTTGATCTTACAAAGGCTTTCGACAAGGTTGACCATGCTTTGCTTGTACATAAATTGAAACAATATGGTTTCGCCCCTAAACTTTGTGAATGGGTTTATAGTTACTTGTCATCGAGGAAAAATTTTGTTCGAGTTGATACTGTTTTATCTAATCCGTTTTTCCCAACTTCAGGCGTACCCCAGGGGTCAGTGTTGGGGCCACTGTTGTTCCTGGTATTTATAAATGATATTTTAAAGTGTGTAAAGTTTGCTAAAGTGCTTTTATTTGCCGATGACATTAAGTTATTCTCAAGTATTTGTTCTGAAAAAGATTGTGATGCGTTACAGTCTGATGTTTCGAGTATTTTGCAATGGTGCTCATCCAACCGTTTGCCTTTGAATATAAACAAAACTAAAGTCATCTCGCTAACTAGACGTAAAAATCCCTTACATTTTAAGTACACGTTGGGAAACTGTATTATTACTCGAACTGATATGATCAGGGACCTCGGGGTGTTAGTCGATTGCAAACTGACGTTCAGTTCTCATGTAACTACTATTTGTGGTACCGGGTTCAAAATGCTTGGTATGATCTCCCGTTTGACTCGGCACTTCCAAGCACCTGAGGCCATATTACGTTTATTTTGTGCTCTGGTCAGGCCCAGGCTCGAATTCGCTTCTGTCGTGTGGAACCATTTAACGGAGACTGAATCTAGACGTATTGAAGCGGTGCAAAGGCGTTTGGTTCGCATAGTCTATGATCGATACTTCCACAGGAGACTTTACTTCGACCACCATTCTCTGCTTAAGATTTTGAATCTCAGCACTTTGGATGACCGAAGGCATTGCCGAGATGCGGCTTTTCTACAAAAGCTTATCCAGGGTGTAATTGACGTACCTGACCTTTTGGACAGCATAAAGTTACGTGTGCCAACGAAATTCACGCGACAGTGCGACATGTTCTACCCCGACATGCGATTAAAGGAGTCACCAATCTATCGTATTCAGACATCATGCAACCTCCTTGTCCAGCACGATTTTTTTTTCATGCCTTATTTTACCTTTAACACCTGATGTGTATTTTATGTACTTTGTTACGACTGTTTTATTATGCTGACTGTTCTAATATGACTATTGTGGTTTCCATGTTTGCATGTTTCATAGGAATCTGACTTCTGTGCACCAATGTCAAAACCATTATGGTGTTTTTGGGCACGCAATAAATAAATATCAATCAATCAAAAATCTTATAAACTCAGCTTCACCCCTTTAATACGCCCCCTCCTGTAATTTTTGATGGTACAATTGTCTGTAGATACCTCCCCCTGTGTTCCGAAACAGCAAGTGTCGCTAACGCTGGCCATCAGCGATGCAGCAGACGCCGCTATCTTGTCTGCACGTCTTATGCTCCCACGCTTTTGCTCCTGCACATCTTGCTGCTTTTTGTTCTCTTGCTCTCCTCTCGATTAATTCTGATTGAGTGCAGTTAGTCTTCAGCATTTGTGCACGGTACCTAGCTCGAACCAGATGGTCTCTTTGAGTAGGAAATAGGAGTTCAGAGGGCCAAATGCTGCCTTTAGTCTTTTGAGACCATCTTTTTTCTTAAGGTGTACTCTTTTCCAAACTAACTGGCTATCTTGGTTGGGCTTTCCTTGTGTGTCAATACATCTGGTATTCTTTTGTAGGTGATGGAGCCACATCGTTAGGGGAAACCAGCTGCCCACTGAAAGTCACAGAGGGCATCTGGTTCAGATGCTGTTCCTGTACCTATATCACCAGAGATCAGCGTGTAATTGTGAGCCACCTGGCTGCCCATGGCGATGAAAAATCCAAGTTTCAGCACCTTTCCATGTCTGGCTCTACGTCCCAAGTGCTTAGCAACACCCAAGGGCAGAAGAGTGAAAAGCCATTTAAGTGCAAGCTTTGCCTCAAAGAGTTTGCTTATAATTCTCTTTTGACCTGTCATAATCGAAAACACACTGGTGAAAAGCCATTTAAGTGCATGCAATGTCACAAAGCCTTTGCTTTGAGTAAAAATCTAATCTATCACAATCGAACACACACAGGTGAAAAGCCATTTAAGTGCAAGCTTTGCCCCGAAGAGTTTGCTTGTAATTCCCTTCTGACCTACCATCATCATTTGCACACTGGTAAAAAGCCATTTAAGTGCTTGCAATGCCCCAAAGCCTTTGCTCAAAATTCCCATCTGCGAGTCCATAATCGAATCCACACAGGTGAAAAGCCATTTAGGTGCAGTCACTGCCCCAAAGCTTTTGCTCGAAATTCTGATCTACGAAGCCATAATCATTTGCACACTGGTGAAAAACCATTTAAGTGCAAGCAGTGCCCCCAAGCCTTTGCTCAAAATCATAATCTACGAAGCCATAATTACTTGCACACTGGTGAAAAGCCATTTAAGTGCGAGCACTGCCCCAAAACCTTTGCTAATAATTCGTCTCTGAGAAGTCATAATCGAATGCACACTGGTGAAAAGCCATTCAAGTGCAAGTGGTGCCCCAAAGCCTTTGCTCAGAGTAGCGGCCTGATCTACCACAATCGAACACACACAGGTGAAAAGCCATTTAAGTGCAAGGAGTGCTCCAAAGCCTTTACTCAAAACTCTTATCTGAGATGCCATTATCAAACACACACTGGTGAAAAACCATTTAAATGCAAGCAGTGCCCCCAAGCCTTTGCTCGAAGTTCCCATCTACGAAGCCATAATTATTTTCACACTGGTGAAAAGCCGTTTAAGTGCAAGCAGTGCCCCCTAGCCTTTGCTCGAAAGTCCAGTCTGCAAAGCCATAGTCGAACGCATACAGGTGAAAAGCCATTTAAGTGCAAGCAGTGCTTCCAAGCCTTTTCTCATCGTGGCAGTCTGATCCACCATTATCGAAAACAGTGTTGAAAGAAAGACTAGGGTCTTTAACTTTTTATTTTTCATTTATCATGCTCAAATTTAGTGTACTGGTGTATTTCTCAGTGATGATTTCAAATATGCAATTAGTTTTCAGATAGTTTTACTAGATCCTGTGTTGGGTCGGTAGAGTAAAATTCTTCAGATTATATCAGAAATGATTATAGAATTGCATTCACCAGGGCATGCTTTGTGCAGTGAGGCTACTTTTGTTGCTTTATATGCCCTACAATAACTTCAATTAATCTGTCTTAATTCGTCGCCAACGACCCATAGGAGGACCTAATTAAAATTTCATATTTATTGATAACTAAGGATCTAGTAAAATCATCTGAAAACTAATTGCGTATTTGAAATCACCACCGAGAAGCACATCAGTATACTAAATTGCTGCCTGATAAACTAAATATAAAAAAGTTAGGCTCTCGTCCCGCCTTAAAAACATTGCAAGTGCAAACAATGCCCCAAAAGCTTTGCCCTGTATAGGATTTTATCAGTGAGAACCAAATGCACAGATGCGAAAGGCCTTGTGGTTGACCCCTAAGTTCAGCGTGCCCCATGCATAATCATTTAGCTTGGGCAAAACTTTATGCCTTTTCAATAAAAGTATGCATATACCTGAGTGCAAAAAGGTTTTAAGGCCCTTGCTCGCATTAATAGCGAAGGTCACCACACTGAAGCGCTTATGCGTGATAAGCTTCAGAAATTCCAGCAGTGTTCCAGGCAATTTTCTAAACGGTCTTGCCTCATCGGGCACACGCTAACATATGAGGTTAACAAACCCGAAGAGCATTTGCATAAAGCTTGCAGCAGGTATGCCTTTCAAATGCCAGCAAGATCCAAGAGGCTTCAGTCATTAATCCAGGTTGGTTGGCTGCACAGCAAGACATTTTGGCATTGCTCTCCACCCTTTCGTCCGAATGCCATTATTTTTCATCACATAAATGTACTGGTGCATAGGAAATGATTCTTCTCTAACTGTGATCTAGAGGATGGGACAATGAACAGGAGGCATTGTGTAATGTTTTTCAGGCAAGCTACTCTGGGTTCTGCACCTGAATGTACATTGGGTCATGCTCTAGTTTAGGGGTGGCCAAGCTGCGGCTCGCGAGCCGCATGCGGCTCTTTGCGTGTTGAAGTGCGGCTCGCAGCTCCCTCCCCTACCCCCCCCCCCCTTCCCGGCCACCCTCCCGGTAACACGAGCACTTCCCCCCAAAAAGAAATGGAACGCGTTTTAAATTGAAAGACAGGTTGCGGATTGGTAGTCTTGTGCTACTACTATCTACGCGCAGATGGACTGCTTTTGACTGGGGTAGATTGAAAGTAGTTCGAACTTCGTTTATCGCTCTGAACACAAATGTGCCCCCCCCCCCCCCCCCCCCCCCCCCGCGGCTCTTGGAAATTTCGTGGTTTTGTCTGCGGCTCTTAGGACGGGTAAGCCTGGCCGCACCTGCTCTAGCTCTTGTTCCAAACTCCCTTGAACTTGCTCGAGGTGTGCTCCTCTCAGGTGTGTTCTAACATGTTTTTAAATATGTCTGTATTGTTTTCTTTTGATACTACTCTTGTCTATGTGGAAGATACAAATGTGCAAAAGTTAATGTGTGACCAGAATTCAATCTCTCTTATTAAAAAAAAAGGAAAGGTTGGCAGTTTCAACTTTCACACTGTTGTTTCTTTCAGCCACTGTGGATTATGGTACTGAAGTAACCGCTGGTCCGCACGCTTGTGACTACTTATGGCCAGAGAAAGCTGTTTTTAGTCTCCTGTGAGGGCTGACGACTTTCTGCAGTCGTAAGCAGGCGCAAGAGGCTTGAAAACCTGTCTTGTCTCAGTCGGTCTTAGTGAAACGCAAGTGTGTGAATGGGCCTTGAGAGTGTGAAGTAACTTTTCCCAAGATTTTCATTTTGACATCCTGTACAGTGCTCAGACCTCATTCTAGCAGTTTCTACGGTGGGGGACTGATCGCCGAGTGTGTGTGTGTGCACCGCAACACTTCCTGCTACCGGTTGGGACGTTGCTAGTTGAATCCCTCGCACTGCCCAGCCGGTTTCGCTATAAATTGGCACTGTACCCATTTTGAATACAGTGTAATGCCCTTTCGAGACTGCATTGACGAAAGTTGTGGACAATTTGACTTTGAACCTTCTAAGTCACGTATTTATGACACCTGCTTTCATATATCGCTTTCCTTTGTGTTAGATGTTCCCAATATTTTCTTTCTCTGTCTCCATTTTCCTGGAAATTGTTTCCGTCTTGCCCGGCTGTCTGCATCAGAATTTTCACACACGTAGGTGTCGTTGTTTGCTAAAAAATTCCTTTTGCTTTTTTTTTTTTTTTTGTAATGCAGGATAGTTTGTTTTCTGCTTTTCTGGTGGCTAACATTCTTACATTTTGTTAAACAAATGAAAAGGATCAGTGAAGCTAAAGCATGGAACGCATGAGCGGGAAAATTGGGCGCCGCTCGCAGCGCACGGCTTTGTCTGAAAGGTTGCCCACTTTCTCCTCTCCCTGCGTTTTCCTCCATTCCATCGAGGACAATTTTCCTTGCCCTCCTTCGGCGCCATGCCCTCCGCCGTCACTTCTGTGCGAGGCACAAGAGGCGTGCGTAGGCCCGCGCCTGCGTGCCGGTCCGTTCTCGTCTGCTATTGCATACAACGGACTCGAGAAATTTTTTTTTCAGATATAAAGACAGTTTTGTTTTCTAACGTGAAGAAACTAGCGTCTGTGCACCTTTATTGGAGTTGTAAAGCACGAGAGGACATCTCGATCGGCGAATGTAATAATGCGAGCACAGTTGGAATCGCTCGGTTGCAAAGACAAGCTCTTTCTGATTCCCCTGAAATCTGGCGATTAAAGAAAAAAAAGAAATGATATGTTGTCTCGAGTATTTTGGGACATCGGCACGCACTGCAACAATGTATTGCGTTTACTCGTTTATTACAGCAAAAGTTGAGAGCAGGCACGCGATATAATGCACCTCTCCCTGCGTGTAAATAGAGTTTCGTAGGCAAGGACTGTGTTGCTATAGCAGGAGCTCGTGCCATCGCTTTGAGCATGGATTGGGCACTCGCCCGCAAGGCTCACAATCCTTAGCGTACGCTCTACTAAACGTTTTTAGTATCTTGAACGAAGTGCATTTGCAGACTCGGCATCGCTCGAGTTGGGCAAATAAAGGACACCACAATCCGTGCGCAACGAGGACTTTTCGCTAATTTTTAGCATTACCGATCATCTTGCCGAACCAGCTGCTTGGTTTATTTTGTACACATTTCATAAACGTCGGATACTACCTGCAACTGTGCCCATGTGCACGGAGGAGTATGCGACGTCTGCTGTTCACGCGCCTCATGTATATAACTAGCCATCAAATACACTCACTTGTTTCCCCTCGATTAAAATAAAGCAGTGCATTTTCGGGTGCCATCGAGCGCGTTTCTCAATTATCCCATTTATTAGGGAGGTCCTCTTTCATCCTTACTGTGTTTCGATATATTGTTTTGACGTGTGCAAGGTATGCCTTACTGCATGAGTTACAAATGAGGACAGGGAGATCCTTCAGCAAAGTCTTCAAAAGACAGGAGCAATTTTCTTTATTGTCTATAAATGATGTTTTAATAATTACAGAGGACAATTCACATACAAAGATAAACACAACGCAATATTTATGGCTATGCAAGGACAAATATTGCTACATTTGTCATCATCTGGGCGAGTCAGTTTCCATCATGAAATACGCAGGAAAAGACGTGTCAAAGTTATTCGTGCCGGTAATTTAGTTCCGTGTTTGTCTCGTCTCATGCTCGTATTGGCGATCTTCATTGGCGATACCGAAAGAGACAGGTAATGCGATCCAGAGTGTTACAATGACTTGCCTCGCAAAGTCTCCCTCGGAGGGAGTCGAAACTTTTTCAACCGATCCGGTGGGGCCATTAGGGAGTTTTCGTAGACCGCGCTGCCCCCTCCGCTAAGCGTTCCGCAACGAAGAAGTCGCTACTGCGCCTGCGCGCCGATAGCCTTGACTGTGGAGTTTCCGCTATCGCAGCGGGTTGCGGAGGGCCTTGCGGGACTGCGAAAACGATCTACGAAAACTCCCTATTGTCTTCGTCGCTGAAGATTTTCTTCTCCCGTCGGAACGGCAAAAAGCTTCTTTGCTTTTGCAATGCTGTTTGTACAATCCACAGCGCAGCATGATGGCATCGCGTTTCCAACAAAATTGTAGTTAAAAAAAAAAAAAATTTGGCCAAGGAATGGGCAACGGAGCCACCGCCGCGCCACGCAGAAAGAGGGAGCCGGTTTCTAGCAAACCACCGAATCGCGTGGGATTATGGAAAAGTAGTGGTCACATGTCGCGCCTGACCCAACTGAAGCGAAGGGAAATAGAACTTTTGAGAAGGAGAGGGCATGGACAAGGAGAAATTTCTCTTCCCCATTTCAGACAACGGTTTGCGTTGCCTTTCAGTGCTTCGTCTGTATCAAACACCCGAGCGCCGCCGCGGCGCACAGAAGCGACGTAGGGACGCCAGCACCGGTTGCTATGATACTGCCGTGCGGCGCCCATTTTCATCGCTCATGAATTGTCTTTGTTTACAGGATCCCTTGAATCGTTCATATGATGAATGTGTGTTTATTTTTACATTGTGTAATGAATTTACAAGCATCTCTTTATCCTGGTGACATTTTTCTTTTTACTTTTATGTTTATCTTTAACGAAGTCTGCAGATGTGAATTATGTAATCAGACTTTTTTTTCACTGTTCCTCAGAAATAAAGGCTGACAGTCATGCTCCTGCAGTGTTGTTGTCTTGTTTCTTTTTCTTCCATTGCATATCTTAGCTGAAGCAATTGTACTGCGGGCAGAGCAGCCCTTCAGAAAGTTCCCACTTTGCCATCCTACTTGACGCTGGGATCGCACTGTAGCAGTTTTTTTTTTTTTGCTAAGAAATTGACTACCAAGTGGAAGTCCGTACTGCGGCACAATGGAGAGTGACGGCTTCTGGTGTCGGTTCTGACCGTGGCCCAATTCCTACCCTTCAGCAGGGTTGCGTAGGTGACATGTTTTTTTTGTGCTGTGCATGTGAT